AGTAAGTGCATCCTTCCTTCCCCTGCCGCCAGCCCCCGCCGGGCGCTCGCCGCCGGCTCCGAGCAGCCGGCTGGGAATCCCGCGCTCCCGAGGAAGCAGAGAGCTCCCGCTCCCGCCCGAGCGATTTTGGTCCTTGGTTGTCGCTAAGCTGGTGGGGCGCAAGGTCCTGGAGCATTCGGCTGGGCTTGCAGCAACGCCCGTGGGCGCTGAAGGGGTCAGGGCCGCTGCCCAAAACACTTGACCGCGCTGCGGTCACGCGCTCGGTGTAAATCTCTGCAGGCTAAGGGCTCTGACTGACCAATCCCCAGGAAAAACAGAGATTTAAAACCGCCCGAGCGGATTATATGCTTGCTAAGTCTTGCAGTAGTCTGCTCTCCTGCCTGCTGAGAGCAAGTTCATTTATTTTAATTTTTGACGGCAAGTAAGAGATCATTTGTTATTATCATCGGTGTTAGTAAAGGGTAAGCGAGTAGATTTTGTACCTGGGATGCCAAATTTTTGTAGTTGTTTTCCACCATTTTTGTGAATTCTCTGAGGCAAGTAACTCTGTATCTGGTCCTTCCTGGCCTGCTCCTTGTGCAAAGTAAATAACAAAATTCCTATAAAGAAGGGGGAAAGACCAAGGCTAAGAAAGATCTTCTTGCCTCAGTTAGGTTCATTTTTTCTTTCTCAGCTATTGAGGGTCTTTCCATCTCTTTGTCCTCGGGATTAGAAGTGCAGCAGCCTCCGTTGTTGGTAAAATAACACAGAGGCTTTGCTATCATGTAGAACAAAATTGGGTTCAGGAACAATGGGAAGTTCAAGTGGCCCCTAAATCCATTTTCAAGTGGAGTCAGCTGCTTGTCTTCTAAATCCAATTTGAAAGATCAACCAACAAGTTGAAATAATTTCCTGCCAGTACCAGCCCTCTGCTGAGCAATCCTTTGCGATGTACTAATTTCATAGCTCTTCCATCACATTTTAACCAAAATCCTCTCCATTCAGAATGCAGCAGCATTGTACGGAAATCGTACGTTGTATGGCAGTGTCCTCTGCAAAAAGGACATTTCCAGCTTCTTTGCAAAGCACGCTGAATTACACGGCCCCACCGGTTCTCGCTGAACATCCTGCCTAGATTAATTGCCCATAATGTCGGCACATCTACCGACAGCAAAACAAACTCCCCCAGAACAGTTTTGCTTCCCGTACCGTAGATGAACATGCAAGGGAACAGATGGATGTTTACGCACAGGAATCTTTGAAGTTTCTCTCTGAACTCATATTCGCTAGGATTTTCTACCAAAAAAAAAAAAATCTGTAAATTCGACAGTGACAATCATTAGGAGTTAAAAACGATGAAAAGAAACGAGAGCCTAAAAGGGACCGCGAAACCCTCTGGAGCTTTGGTTTCCTAAGGAGGTTTTGTTGCCAGGGTTTCCGAGCAGCCCAAAAGCACAACACCAAGTTTCCCTCTGGGGTTTTGGGTGCCGCCGCTCGGCAGAGGAGAGGCTCGGAGGGATGTCCAGCCTGCCTTTTTGTGCTTTATGAACCCGATACTAAAGCTGTGAAGGAAGGCATTTAGGCTGTCTTCTGCTACCCTTGCCACTTGGATTTTTTTTTTTTTCTCCTAGAAGACAGGTAATAGAAAATCTTCAATTTTTCGTTAAGAGTACGTGAGATTAAATCCAAAGAGCTAAATCTGTGTTCGGAGTTATCCGGCTTGATGAACAGCTAGGCTGGGCTTATAACATTACCAGCAGCTTGAACGAGGGCCAGGGCGGGATTAGTGTTCTGCGAAGTACCTCGCTTCCTGGAGGGTGGGTAATCACAGCCTTCCCTTCTTTATGAGATGCTAGCTCCATCCACTTTTAACTTGGGTACTTCTACTGTTTCAGTCTGATGCCTGATATAATCCAGGAGCTGCAAGAATGGATAGCGATAACCCTCTATTTTATTGTATTTTTGGAGCGTCTGGGCGATAACACTGTCTAGTCTTTCATCCGTGGGGATGCTACAGCTTAGCGTGGAAATCACCTCCGAAATCCACCTCACCCCAAACGGCCACGTAGCAGCTGGTGCTGAGCAGCCCCGTCCGTGCCGTCTGGGGTTGAAACCCATCTGTCCGTCGCCCGTGACGGGGCAGGGAGATGGGAG